GGCTTTGGCATGAGAAAACTTGGCATGACATAATGCTCCTATTCCTAATACCTCTGTGGCAAAAGCAGACACTTCGGGGGACTGCTTTGTTCATCTAGAATCCTGAACATTCACAGGACTTCCATTGCAGAACTCTGGGCCCCCAATCTATAGGCTGTTTCTTAGATGATTTGCTGTGCTTGTTCAGCTAGACATGGAGGAAGGAAGGAGGCAAGGAAGGAGGCATGTTGTCTATGGCAGCAATAAATGCCACCCCCTGGGAAATCTTACTAAGCACCCGTGTTTCTACTATTTCATAGCAACACTAGCAGGTTCCCAATTTAAGCTGACATGAAAAGAGCTTGAAACTTACTTTACAAAAACAACAACAAACTTTAAATCCAAATGTCTCACTTTCCAATCAGTTCTACACTTTCATGATACAGGTCCAGGTCCATGGGATATTTCCAAGCTTTCTTAATTAAAGAAATATTAAACATTTAAAGTATCTATTTGTATATGGGATGCTACAAATCCAGCTCATTTTATGATAAACCAATATGAGAAAACAACTATGCATTGGAAGTAAAAATATATTTCTTTGAAGGACAGCACACATTTTTAAAGTAAATATAAGAAGACATTTCAATGGATTGTTTTGCTATCTTGAAATTTTGTCTCCATCATTAAAAGGAAGAATGATGATTAGATTTCAATTCAGAGCACAAGACTGCTGTATTAATTTTTGCTTTGGATCCAAATAAGGGCTTGTTTTATAGAAAAGTGACTGTCTTCATAGTTTTGCTAATTCTTAATCTGTATCAATGGCTGAAATACATGCTTTTTCATGAAATCGTGGCCAAGGTGCCCCCATTCCAGTAATGAGACCTATTTGTGAAGTTGCATGATGTAACAGACATTAGTTTAGAATTCTACTAACACTTTCTTCAAATTGAAAGTATTGCATATTTATTATTTTTGCAATGTCTTCAACAGCCCTATATACGATTATTGCAGATGGTGAGGTTGAGGCTGAATGGCTTGCCCATTTTAAATGCCCAAGGCTGGACAATAAGATCCCATCTATGTGACATGACTGGTACAAAAAACTTTCTGGCTCATGTCCTGATGCTATTCTAGTTCTCATTATTCTCTACCAGCAAAAAATATTGTTGCTCTGTGAAGTCAAATGCTTCTAATTAAGGGGTGGGATTCTACCAGTTTGGACCAGTTCTATAGAACAGGTTGTTCCGATTCTGCACAGCTCGGAGAACTGGCAAATCACACCACTGGCTTCCCTGAGGCCCAGTCAAGGGTGGTATTCAGGGGGTTGGGGGAGGGAGAAGTGGCCTGAGAGTAGAGCTGAACCTTCCTTAGGATTGAAGCTTCTATTTTTTCAGTGCAGACTCAGGCAGCAGATTGCAGAAAGGTAGATCTGGGAGTGAAGCTGTGATTCTGCAAGCAGCTCAATCTGTCTGCCTGCTTTGCCTGATTTTGGGTAAAAGTTGCTCTTTTTTAAAATAAAAAAATTCAATCTTTACATATATATTTACAATATTTACATACAAGCCACATCCATCCAGTCACATGACCACCAAGCCACACCCACAAATTAGGCCATGCCCACAGAACCAGTTGTTAAGAAATTTGAATCCCACCCCAGTTCCAATTAGACAGTGTTAGACTCACATTTAACAATTTTCCTTGTTTGTAAGTAGCAAAAGCAAATCAAGTACTAAGTATGCCCCAATATCTGGCTGATGATTTATAATTGCCCTAGCAGGCCCCAAGTTATACAACTCTTTTTCTGTGCCATAGCTTCACAAAAACAGGAATTCTTCCAAAGGTTTGGAAACAGATATTCAGAGGCCAGCTAGGTGCTGTTACCTTCCTTGTCTCTTATCTCCTTTTCAGGATTCCTAGATTGGCCTTGAATTCCAGCTCTTGCATAATCTTATCTACGTGCTTCCTATTTTGTTGGCAATTTCCTGTGACATTTCTAAGCACCAGGGAAAAATAGCAAACAAACAGCATTTGTGCCACTTCTTAATTGCCAGTTCTTTGCACAATGTCTAATTATACTCGAAACTCAAGATCATCCCACAGACTGTCAGGCTTGAGATGTAAGCTCAAGCACAGGTGCTCTCGTGCAAAAAGCCCAAAGCTCTATCCCAACATTGGTATAATGGACTCGAAAGTCTTTCTCTTTAAGGACATTATGCAACAGATATTTCTGCAGTACTCCTTGGTCTCTGACGTTGCAGTCTGTCAGGAGCTGACAGGAAGTAGTATATTGTGAAACTTACTGACAAGCAGCTTTTAGTGCCTACTTCTCCCACAGAAACTTGGGCTGTTGAAAACTGATTAGAGAAAATAGTATATTAATGGGAATGCAAGGAAAGGCCACAATTTGACAAGTATCCTAAACTGCTTCCATACAAGGACAGGCTAGAAATGCAGCAGTCTAGGAAGAAGAGAAGGGAAGCACCTCTCAACAAACCACTATAATCTGTTGGAAAAGACATCTATGGACACATTATAAATTGTATTTTTGCAGCTAAATCACTTCCTTGTTTTTGTTTTGACCCTTGCAGTCAAGAGGACTGGTGCTCAAACCAATTGGCTTCCAGCAGCTGGATTGCTCAGGAGGCTTCTCATCTTCTAAGCACCCAGTGCAAGGCAGAAGCCAAGGCTACTCCTCCAGCACATGTCCACACAGTGCCCCTGTGCATCTGATCACCCAGAATAACTTCCAGATGTCTATCCTGTATTCTATACTATAGACATGGATGACACAGATATTTTCCAGTGTTATTTTTATATTTTAAATGGCATTTTAATGTTAAAGAAATTGAAGCTGTAGCCAATATATATATATATATATTAAATAAATCTCCCTTTTGACACTTTTTGGCAATTGTAAAGCAAAATGGATGATTGCATCTATCTTCCATACTGCAAGTGGGAGAGTGGATCCACAGGGAGCCAGGAGAAAAGACTTTGCCTAGAGTGTGGCAAAGCTCCCCCTCTCCTCTCTCCATCCACCAGCCCGGCTGCTTCTCTACATGCAGAGTACCAGAGAAAAAAAGAGAAACCTGCTAAAATCGGATAATCTCTCCTCTGACCCTTCAGATTTTGTTTTCCCTGCCTTTCTTCCTAGAACTGCCCCTTAAGGGAACTGCAAGTACACGTTTTTTTCACGAACAAGATGGTGAACTCTGAAGCCACTCTCTGCAAAACCCTGCTCACAGTTTGCAGTGACCAGTAAGACAGATGGAAGCCAAATACATTCAGGGAAGGGGCCCAGGTAGGACAGGCGCCCAAACATCCTCGGTCGCCAGTCCCAGAAAGGAAGGACGGGGACAGGAGGACCGTCAACGTCCTCAGTGGAAAGAGCGTCTGAAAGGAGGGTCGGCGGCGGGATCAGAACGGAATGTAGGACTGTACCATCTTGGAGAGTCCTGTCCAACGTGAAAGGCACGGGGAGATTTTTTTTTTGGGGGGGGGCTCACCTTGTAGCCGGTGGGGGTCGAGTGGCCACTCCCCGATGGGGATCGACAGACGGTAACCAGCGCCATGCGCGGACGAACTCCTGCGCCTTTCCTCCGCTCCGGGGGAGACTGAGACGGTGCCACTCGGAGCCAGCGCAACGCCGCCGCAAACCGTCTGCAGGGGGCGGGAGTAGCGGGCCACTCATTCACTCATCCCGGGGTGGGAGCCTGCCAACCGCAAACTTTCTGCTCCTTCGTCCAGCCACTCCGACGAACAAGCGCACGGATATAGTCTGCAAAGCAACACCGAGTACGTCCTTTCGGGGGTGGCTCTTAAAGGAACAGGCCCGAGTGGCGAAAGACCAGCGGCGGGGTGGAGGAGGAGGCGGAGGAGGTGCCAATCCGTGGCAACTACGGGAAGGCGCTTCCCAAGGGAATTCCCACTCCCCGCTGTCCCGTTCTCCTAATCTTGGGCCAGGGCTCAGTCCCGCTTCTTTTACAGAAAGCCGGACCCTTCATACTGTGGAAGAACTGCAACTGCAAGGCTGGAGAGTCTTTCAGGCTGCCCTGTGCCTGGAATGAGCTTACCTTTCCCCCATATACCTGAAGTTAGCCACAGGGCTCACTTGAAACGATCTCCCGTAAGGGGCGGCGGGGTTTCCTATAAGTTCACCAGAACCACTATACGATAGTGGACAAAATTTGGAGCTGAAATAGAGCAATCTTGTGACAGGGTCTAATTATTACAGGTCGTTTTCAGGGGAGCCCCCCCCCTCCCCCCCATGGGATCGCTAGGCTTTCCGTATCTAACACTGAGGAAGAAGCTACACTGTTCCTTTAATATGAGAAGAGGAAAAGTTCCCTATCTAAACTTGACGTGGTTGGGGGGGGGGTGGGAGGTCCTGCTCCTGGAGTTTGAAATTTTATTACTGGCACTTATCCCAGGCTTAAAATAAAGAAGTCTCTGGAGTGTGGCTTGTTATAACTATAGCCATCTATGCCTTGCTGCATTGTTCATGTTACTATTACAATGACTCAGCAGGTGATTTAAAAAAAAAAGTCTGAGTAGTTTGGAAAAACACAGTATCATTTCATTTTTTTTTTCAGTAAGACCACTGAATTCAGCTGCTGTTGTCAACCAGGATCTTTCTGAAATTCAGCAGGAAGGCTCAAACTTTCTCACAAGATCCTAATGAGCTATAAACAGTGGCACCATCAGGGCAGAACTCACAGCTTTAACAGGAAATCATCAAAAGCAGTAGGGCTGGTTTACCAGATTGATATAAAAGAGCACAAATTATCAAGAGACTTCCTCTATGATATGGTCAGAGTTGAAAATCACCTAACTGCATCATTGACCACAAACACCAGTGAGACACCAACCAATATTGATATGACATGCTGTGATAGAAGAACAAGTCGAATGCTGAAATTCTCAAGTTTCTTGGCAGTCATCTTGTCTGTCCCTTTACAACAGCCCCATGTTTTGGTCTACAATAGTTACCACAACAAATAATTTTAAGGCTCCAAGAGTTAGTTTATTGTGATAAGCGTTTCAGGAGCTGATCATCACATCGAATTATTGAGGGTACAGTATAGTTTTTTAATATAGTATAATGCATCAATTCTTGAATATTTTGAAATAACTTGTCTTGCATTCTGACTTGATCTGGCTGTTTGGGGCAAATACTGGTGGTAGTGCCTAGCCAACCATGGCTGATCTCAAAAACTAAGGAATGTTGAACTTGGTTACTACTTCTCGGACAAAGCAAAAATGCTAAGGCTGGGAACTGAAAAACATCCCAGAAGATGGCAGTAGGGAAACACCTTTATATTGTGGACCAAAAACCTACATGGAATAGTCCATAGAATTATTAGAAATTAAGCTTGATTTGAAGGAGACCATAACAATACTGCATTTTCTCTTTTTTTCTCTGGACATAGTTTGCTTGAAGTTGTGGAGAATGAAGGCAGAAAGTTTCATACAGTATATGATATACTAGCAGCCTCTGCACATGGTTTTCGGTCACAATAGATACAATCTCCAGGTTCAGGTAAATATTTGAACTCTACTCAGAATCATCCCTTGATCTTCCAATGCAGTCAGTTATAAACAGTGACAACACACTTCATAACACAGTATTAATCTCTTAAAATTACTGATGCAAAATAAAGCTACCTTCCATTTAATGTACCAAGTGAATATTCTAACTAGCATTAGTGTTCTAATGTTTCAGAGAAGAACTTGGATTGTCCAGGGATTGTTCATTTTTCAAAATATGCACCTCACACATCTGAACAAAATCAGATGCCCCGGAACCTCTTCCATACCTTCCTGAATGAAGGAATATAGAGTAGAAAGGCTATACAAAATGAACACGACTAATTAATGGTTATTGCAATTTTAGTAATATTAGAAGTATTTAAAAAACTGTTTGACAGACTTTTATCACATGGCCTCATAAAGCCACCAAGGTTTTGTCACATCACACAAATTACATTTCCGTGAATGACCACTAGGGGGTTCATGTAAGGCAGGAAATTAGAATATCAAAATTGATCTTGTTCTGTATTACTGTAGTAGTAATGATACCAAGAATTGACCACTGGACAAATATGAGATTTCAGAATTCTAATTATTCACAGAACATAGTAATTTGTACTTCAAATTCTGTGAGCCAATAAACCATATTATATGGCACCCAAGAAGATGGCGGGGAAAGGCTTCAGGAAATACAGAAGCAAACCAAAATGAGCAAGGAAGCAAAAAGAAAAATGCACAGTGAGCAAATAGCCAGAGAAAGAGGAACCTGATGAAAGAATTGCTGGGAATGGAGGTTTAAGAGGGGGAAAGCATGGGGAATTAAGGCAAAGAAATATTTAATCCAAACATGAACCATATTAAGAGGACAGTGAAAGAAAAATGCAAGAAAGCTGCTCAACAAACAGAGTGGCTAAAATAAATGTAATAAACTAAGGTGTGTCCTGAAAACCTACGTTCAGAGATAGAAGTGACTGCTAAAATTGAAGAAAATGCAACTGGGTGGGGTGGGGAGCTTGGTAAAACTCTCGCAATCTCAGTGGTGTGTTGCTAATCCTTGATCTGGAAATTCTGCTATTTATTGCTTCCACTGTCATCATAGCCTTGTAAGTAAAAGGAAGATGGGAGACTAAGAAGGCACATATGCTAAACATTTCATATAATAATTTAAAATAATTAGATATATTATTGACTGCAAGTTTTGGTTCTAGAAGTAGGACCATTTCCTCTTGTTTGATTGAGTTCATAAAAATGAAAGATTATCAAACATACGGAATTCTATACATTTGGCTTGTTGAAATGTTGCACCTGACTGGTTAAGTAATTCTTTGTGAACAATCCACTAATTCCTTCTTAAGACATGCTACCACAGCATGATCATTCAAACCATAAACTGAGGGTTGTTGTTTTTTTAGTAAACAAATCAGCTTGTTCAGTAATTTAAACATGATCACAAGTACCACAAATGGAGCCTCACATTATGTTTGTATGAGAGCCACACAAACTGTGACCAAGATAGTTGAAACTGAAGAAAGCTACCAAAAGCAGATGCTGGTTTCATGTTTTTTATTTAGTATTCCTGCTGCCCAGAGCTCCCCGTGCCTGGTCCCCAGACAGCAGGATAAAACTGCTCAAGAGTGGACCCAGCTGTTCCCTTTAAGACCCACTGGGTTCAGTTTTTAAAAAAGCACACACCTCCGTTCCCTTTCTAGTATATATCTTTAAAGATATAAATTAAATAAATTAAACACGGGAAGAGGGGAGAGCAGCAGCTCATGATGAGGAAGAGGGGCGGGGGGGAAGACAGGAATGAGTATTATTCATCAAGCTGCAGCCTGACTTCAGTCTTACTGCAAATATCAATGCATTGAGCTCCTGGATCCCACCCCCTCTATTGCCCCAATCCCCAAGAGAGGCCAAAACTCATGCAAAGACAGAAGCTGCAACAGCACACTTCTAGCACCCTCAAAAAAAACCTGCAAGCTCATCTGAAAAAGAGAAACATCTTTCATTATTTTTCCATTCTTTCCTATCAGTTGCTGCTCCTTTTCTCTTACTCCCCTTCTCTGTGCTGTAGAAAACAATTCCTCCATGAAGGATAAAGCGGTTAAAAAAATTACAAGAAATAATATTAAAGGACGGAACCAAGTGAACCACAGGAAATGCAGAAGGTTCTGTCTTCTCACCTCCAGCCTGACCCCAACAGGAAAGGGGGCAAAGCATGGAACCCAACCCAATCCAAAATACAGTGGCAGCAAGGAGAATTAGGCTGGGTGGTGTGAGGCTTGATTGAGCAAGGCCAAGGGACCCCTTGCTAGCAGGCTGGGATGCTACTTCTCTGTCAGAGAGAGCTGGAGGATTCGTTGCAGCTCCTCATCTTCTTCACGGTGTTGGCGCTCCCGTTCTTCCTGCTCCCTAGACGACAGCTCCATGGCCAAACGCAGCTGCTCATCAAAGCTGGGGTAAGGTGGAGGCAAAGCTGAGGAACCGCTTCCATTGGTGCTGAGCGCTGGGTTGCCCTCAGGAGCAGGCACATCATTGCCACCTCCAGACTCCATAGGGACCAGGCCTGGTCCTGACTGAAGGAACATGCTTTCTTGGATGGCCCTGAGAAAGAAGAGGAGAGTTTGTTGCAATCATGAGAAAGAGACACAAGTTGCCCTTCTGCTTGTTCAACAGGTGTACTTCAGCCCACTTAAAGGACTTCAAACATATTTTTGACCATGCTGTGGAGCGCTGCATACCAGAGCAACTGAACACAAGGATAGATTTTTTTCTGGGTGCCATCACTCTGCTAAACAAATAATTCCCTTAAACTGTCAAACTATTTACTAAGTCTGCATTACTATTACTATTCATCTTCTCATCCTTCCTTTCAGCCATCTCCTCCCACTTATGACTGCATGAATGTAACTTTGTTGCTTGTATCCTTATGATTTTTTAAATCGACTTTTTACTAGTATAATTTGATTTGATCCCTTATTTTTATGTTTCCTAGTATGATTTGATTGCTCACTTGTACCCTTTGACTACTATTAAATGTTATACCTATGATTCTTGACGAATATATTTTTTTTCTTTTTATGTACACTGAGAGCATTTGCACCAAAACAAATCCCTTGTGTGTCCAATCACACTTGGCCAATAAAGAATTCTATTCTATTCTATTCTATTCTATTCTATTCTATTCTATTCTATTCTATTCTATTCTATTCTATTCTATTCTATTCTATTCTACTCTACTCTACTCTACTCTATTCTATTTATTCTATATTCTCATGTTAACATTCTGATTGTCTGGCTCAATCTCAAGTTTCTCCGTGCTCATACAATTACAAAAGAGCCTCACTGCCGGTACAAACAAAGCAATGGGTCAGCTTTTGATTCAAGCTGTTTGCGCCGATTATATACAATGCTGACAAAACCTCCTGAATTTACTACATTTCCTACCTAGGTAATGGATGGAGCAACATTTTTGTCCTTGCAATAAACTCATGTTCACACTATGGATCACTGCCTGAGGACAGATTCTGTTTATTACCTCCCATTACACAAAGCTCTTTTCAATTTTGTGATTTTTTTTTAAAATCTTACTATTTCCAAATCAGAATGTGATTCATTTAATCAAGCACTTAAAACACAGTAGTCAACACAGGGGTCCCCAAACTTGGCAACTTTAAGACTTGTGGATTTCAACACCCAGAATTCCTAGCTGGCTGAGGAATTCCGGGAGTTGAAGTCCATAAGTCTTAAAGTTGCCACGTTTATTTATTTATTTTATTTGGTTTGTCAATTGCTTACAAGATAATAGGTATAAGTAAAAAACATAGTTATGAATATATGGATACATATAAGAAAAATAAAAGAAACAATAGGACAGGGACGGTTGGTGCGCTTATGCATGCCCCCTACAGGCCTCTTAGGAAGGGGGTGAGGCCAATAGTAGACAATCTAAGGTTAAAGTTTTTGGGGGTTGGGGAAGAAATCACAGAGTCAGGTAGAGTGTTCCAGACATTGACCACTCTGTTGCTGATGTCGTATTTCCTGCAATCAAGTTTGGTGCGGTTTACCTTGAGTTTGTATCTATTGTTTGCTCTTGTATTGTTATGGTTGAAGCTGAAGTATTCATTGACAGGTAGGACATTGCAATGTATGATTTTATATACTATACTTAGATTGAACCGAAGGCAGATACAGATAATCAGAGTTGGAAGGGACCTTGTAGGTCATCTAGTCCAACCCCCCGCCCAAGCGGGAGACTCTACACCATTTCTGACAAATGGCAGTCCAATCTCTTCTTGAAAATTTCAACTGATGGTGCTGCCACAACTTCCGAGGGCAAGCTGTTCCATTGGTTGATTGTTCTCACTGTCAGAAAGTTTCTCCTTATTTCCAGCTTAAATCTCTCCTTGTTCAGTTTCCATCCATTATTCCTTGTCTGGCCTACAGGCGCTTTAGAAAATAGCTTGATCCCTTCCTCCCTTTGGCAGCCCCTCAAATATTGGAAGACCGCTATCATGTCTCCCCTGGTCCTTCTCTTTACTAGACTAGCCAAGCCCAGTTCCTGCAACTGTCCGTTGTATGTTTTAGCCTCCAGTCCCCTAATCATCCTGGTTGCTCTTCTCTGTACTTTTTCTAGAGCCTCAACATCTTTTTTATAATGTGGTGACCAAAACTGGATGCAGTACTCTAGATGTGGTCTTACTAAGGCTTTATAGAGTGGTATTAGTACTTCCCTTGATCTTGACTGTATCCCTCTGTTCATACAATTTAGGATTGCATTAGCTTTTTTGGCAGCTGCTGCACACTGCTGGCTCATATTTAGCTGGTTGTCCACTAAGACTCCACGATCCCTCTCACAGTTACTGCTATTGAGCCTGGTTTCACTCAGTCTATATGTGTACTTTTGGTTTTTCTTGCCTAAGTGTAGGACTTTACTTTTCTCTACATTGAATTTCATTTTGTTAGATATGGCCCAGTGTTCTGGTCTGTCAAGACCCATCTAGATCTTGAGCCTATCTTCTTGGGTGTTAGCTATTCCTGCCAGCTTAGTATCATCTGCAAATTTGGTAAGTTCTCCTTCTATTCCCTCATCTAAGTCGTTAAGGAAGATATTGAAGAGTACTGGGCCTAAGATGGAACCTTGTGGCACCCCACTGCTTACTTCCCTCCATGTAGACTTAGACCCATTAAGGACTACTCGTTGAGTATGGTTTGCCAGCCAGTTGTGAATCCATCTAGTGGTGGTGCTATCTATTCCACTTTTTTCTAGCTTACTAAGAAGTAGGTTGTGGTCTACTTTATCGAATGCCTTGCTGAAATCTAAATATATTATGTCCACAGTATTTTGCTGGTCTACTAATTTAGTCACTGTGTTGAAGAATGAAATAAGATTGATTTGGCATGATCTGTTTTTAACAAACCCGTGCTTACTGATAGTTATTACTTTACTTGTTTCTAGATATTGGCAGATCTGTTTTTTTATTATCTTTTCCAGTATCTTCCCGGGTATTGATGTTAGGCTGATTGGTCTATAGTTTCCTGGGTCTGTTTTTTTGTTCCTTTTTTGAAGATGGGAACCACATCAGCTCTTTTCCAGTCCTCTGGTAGTTCCCCGGTGCTCCAGGATTTTTGAAAGATATGGTGCTGTGGTTCTGAGATGACCTTTGCCAGCTCCTTTAAAACTCTGGGATATAATCCATCAGGCCCCAGTGATTTGTTTTCATCAAGATCAGACAGGTGTTCTCTTACTATTTTTTTTGCTTATTTTAACTTTTATTTCTGGTCTGTCTTTTACACTTATGTTTTTGGTGGGTTGAACTATAGTTTCTTTTTGCGTGAAGTCAGATGCAAAGAATGAGTTAAGCAGTTCTGCTTTCTCTCTGTTGCCTGTTACTTCCTTGCCGTCTTCTCTCTTTAGTGGACCGACTGTTTCCTTGATTTTTTTCTTGTTATTTATATGTTGGAAGAAACTTTTTTTTTATTATCTTTGACTTTTGTTGCAAGTCTTTATTCGTTCTGAGCCTTTGCTATCCTGACTTCGTCTTTGCAGATTCTGGTTATCTGCTGATATTCTGTCTTAGTTGTATGTCCTTCTTTCCATTGTTTTGTACTTGTCCTTTTTTTCTTTCAATCTGCCAGAGAGATCTTTGTGCAGCCATGCTGGTTTCTTCTTGGATTTCTTGTTTTTCTTTCTCAGTGGTATTGTGCTGGTTTGGGCTTCTATGGTCATACTTTTTAGAGTTTCCCAAGATTCTTGAATTGTTTTCCCCTTTAGGATTTTCATCCATGGAATCTTTCCCAAGTTCTCTCTGAGTTTATTGAAATCAGCTCTTTTAAAATCCAAGACTCTGGTGTCATTATGTTCTGTTGCTTGTGTTTGTGTTATACTGAATTCTAGTATGACATGGTCATTCTCACCCAAGGTTCCTGCAGTTTCAACTCCCTCTATCACTTCTCTGTTTGTAAGAATTAAGTCCAGTATGGCTGTCCCTCTAGCTTCACCCTCTACCTTTTGGACAACAAAGTTGTCAGCTAGGTTGGTTAGGAACTTATTTGATTTCTCACTTGGTGCAGAATTAGTTTTCCAATTGATATCAGGATAATTGAAGTCTCCCATTACTATTGTTGTGTGTTTCCTGCATATGTTTGTTAGTTGGCTGGCAAAAAGGACATCTATTTTTTCTGCTTGATTGGGTGGCCTATAATATACACCTATGGCCATGTCATTCTTTTTTTCTTTTATATTGACCCATATGCGTTCTAGGAGGTTTTCATCTTTGGTTTCATGCATTTCTGTAGCAATATAGTGGTCCTTTACATACAGTGCAACTCCACCTCCACTTTTATGGGGTCTGTTTTTTGTTTTTGTTTTTGGAATAGTTTGTATCCTTCTACCAGTATGTTCCAGTCATGGGTTTTATCCCACCAAGTTTCTGTTATTCCAACTATATCATATTTACCGTCATGTATTCATAGTTTGAGTTCACCCTGTTTGTTCCCCAGACATCTTAGTTCTAGGTTTTCTAGGTCTAGAATTTCAAGTCTGGTGGCATAAGGTATTCTGCAACGAGTAAAGGAGTGGAGAACTCTTCTTGTGAAATATTTCTGGACTTTCTCAACTGTGTAAATATCAGATACGTAATGTGGGTTCCAGACTGATGAGCTGTATTCGAGTATTGATCTAGCAAATGTTTTGTATGCTCTAGTTAGTAGTGTAATATTACCAGAGAAAAAGCTACGTAAGATTAGGTTAACAACTCTTAATGCCTTTTTGGCTATGTAGTTACAGTGGGCTTAGATCATTAGAGATGAGTACTCCAAGATCCTTGACAGAGTTTGGATCATCAACAAGGTCTTGACTATTCAGCCTGTATTTTATTTTCTGGTTTTTTTTGCCAATATGTAAGACAGAGCATTTATTTGTTGAGATTTGAAGTTGCCATTTGTTTGACCATTCTGATACATAGTCGAGGTCTTTTTGAAGGGTAGCAGTATTGTCTGTGATGTTGAATAGCTTTACATTGTCAGTGAAGAGAACGCAGTTGCTTTTTATATGATCACAGAGGTCATTTATGTAGAGTATGAAGAGAGTTGGTCCTAGAACA